CTTTCACCAGAGTCGTTTTAAAGGTGAGTAACTGTACTTCTACTTAAGTAAAGGACATGTGTACTTTTGCCATCTCTGCTAGTATTTCATTTATTGCAGGTTTTCTGGAAGCTCCAGTTGAGGGCATTAAGGACATACAGATGGCTTAAACCAATGTCAGCCTGGACAAACATATATTGCAGTTCTGCTACACCACACCAAACTCTTCTTTTGTATGAATGTCTGACTAATGCAGTGTTCTCTGAAGGTATTTCTGGAGCAAAACAACAGCACCCGTTACAGTGAAATTTGTGTTCATAAAGGATAGTAATATATGTGTAACAGGTCCAGTACATTTGTCGTAAAGGTTAAATCACAGAGAAAAGTTATTTTAAGAATTTGCAAAGGTTTTTTTTATTCTTCCTGCCTTCTCTCTTCAAACTAAACATTGGTTTGTGCTCGTTTTGGTGATTTCGATGTGATATGTGACTCATTTGCCTTGAAGCTATTGACCTTATTCTTCAATGTGGAAGTGCGCTTGTTTTTGTAATAAATAATGGCTGAAAACGGTCGAACCACTCGCTCTATAAACAAGTGTTTGCATGATTATACAGACAAAATAGAATAATATACTAAGAAAATATCAGTTTGCAACATCAAGCAGCAAAACGAGCTGTTTTAACATGTAAATATGAATGGAAGTGAATGAGACCGGAAGTCTCTAGCCAAATACATTCAAATGGCTGCGCCCGCTCATGCACGGAGAATAAGATGAATAGTTCCCTCTTTCTATATGTAAAGCAAGGGTCCTAAGATGTTTAAAGTCCAGAAAAGGAACTAAAAACTTTGTCAAAACATTGCTTTAATCTTCAGCATCAATTGTAATCTTACTAAGCTCAAAAACACATTTGTGCATCAAAAGTACTGTAAAAATAACTTATTTGTCGCTTACTGCTCGTAGTAAACACAAACCCTGATATGATGTTGGAGAGATATACACAAACAAATTTGTATTTACTGTTTTGTTTTGCCTAACTAAAGTGTTGTTGGAGCTTGGTATGTTCACAGTTGAACCACTGAAGTCACATGGAACGTTTTAACTGTTTTTTATTTATTTATTTTATTTTTTTGTGCCTTATCTCGACTATGACCATGTTGAGACCATTGATGTGTTTAGAGAATGAGGAGCATTTAATCTAAATATTGTAGTTTGTGTTGGGAATTTAGATTATAGGCTATAATAGTCAAATAGATCTGGACATGTCAGTGTAACTGTTGTGTTTGTAAAAGAGAATTGAACAATATATTCTACACATTTTCTTGATGATTTATTGAAATATTTATCTACATGTTTCACCCACAGGTGCTCAGTTTTGCTGCAGTAAAGCTAAACACAATAGATGTGCTTCATGCAAATAGGGGAAAACAACTAAATATTTAGCATGCAGACCTGCAAAGGGAAGGCGCAATGTCAGATTTATAGATTTTAGCTGGAGTTTTCACTATTGTGAAAGTGAAGTCATTCATTCTCAGTGTCTACAGAGTGGCAAACCTCATTATTGATTTTGTTGCATACTCACCTGGTGTTTGAGAATAAAAGATGTATTTAACTGCTAGACTGAATGATATAGATGTTTTTAGTGTTTTACACTTAATTCTTTTGTCCCCAGTTCCAGCTTTTACCTCAAGCATTTCTCTCAACCTATAAAACCTTAAACAGACGTAATGTATTTTACTTGTGATTCTTAGCTGTAGGTGATGTTTTATGATTTTTTTTTTTTTTTTTACTGAAAAATAGTTTAAAATTTATGCTCAATTTCGATTATCGAATCAAAAAATAGAATCGTCGATGCTGCCAAACCCCCATGTCACGTCACCTTGGCTTGCCAAGTGGGAAAAAAGCACGCTTGTTGAGTGCTTGCTAAACGGCAGACGCAGGAGACTCGTTGACAGAGCTTAAAGCCTCTTCTCTTTCAATGAAGTCGCCGGTGTGGAAGCATTTTGGATTTCCGGTGAGTTATGTTGACAACGTTCGTGTTGTCGACAAAAAAAAAAACAGTTTGCAAGCTCTGCTATGTACGTATTACGGTTTGTCCAATAGACAACACCGGCATTGCGATCCTCCGCCCCGCCCCCGTTGCAAATCCGCTTGTGAAAAGTACACACTCAGGCCGTGTTTACACTAATATGTCTTTGTTTTTAAATGGCATTTTAGAACGACAACGATTTGACATCCACAGTGGCGTGTACAGTAGCATTTCTGAGCAGCCCTCTTTCCTCACTACAGCTGAAAACGCACATCACGTGACCACACAGACACAGACACAGCCATGCACTCGAGACAGTGGGTCCAGGCAGTTAGCGGGTCAGCAGACTGCTTCAATCTTTCACTCACTTGTATTTAGTCATTTTAGCGAACAGATACTGTTGGCTGGTTCCTGTTGGTTGTGCACTTTTTTTACCGACGCCATTATAACGACACAGATTTATTACATTATTACAGCCTATTCACGAGTCCTGCAAAAAAAGTGATTTACAGGTGGTAATTATGTGTGTAACTTGCCTTTATTTATTTACTGTATGATTTGTTTATGGGTAAAACAAAGACCATGCAGGTCAGGTAGCTACAAATAATTAATTGGTTATTACTTAATTAATTATAATCGAAAATCGAATCGAACCGTGACTTTAGAATCGAAAATGTAATCGAATCGAGGTTTTGGAGGACCTGGATCTATAGTAACCTGCATGGTTTTAATGAAGGATTGTATGGTGAAACAACGTCACGGTATTAACGTTGATCCAATTTGCAAAATCGAAAGATAATTCAACCTTCATTCAACGTCTACAAAACGTTGTCTACTGAAAGTTTGTCTCCGTAAAGAAAACCTTTTTTTTTTCAAATTAGTCCATCAAAATAAATGTGTAGTGTTTTGAATCATTTAAATCATCATTGAATCATGAGTAACTTCATTTGTTACTCACAACACATCAAGAGTTTATCAAGTCAAAATGTCATTATCTGACACAAATCTGATCTGTGGTAACTGGCAAATGGCATTGTGTAGTCTGAACAGGGTTTAGCCGGACTTTAATTTGCCAACAAGTTTTGTGAAATGGCAGTCGAAAGCCCAAAATTGGAAGCAAAAATGTGTTTGTTCACAAGAGTGACAATCGAACAATGTGAATTATCAAAAACACAATTTCAGGGTGTAGAACAATGTTCCCTGCATCTCCCCAAACATTTTCTCCTCCATAATTTTTCTTATTTTCTTTTCAGAGCTGACTTTTTGATTGAAGTGTGCAATGTGCACAAATATGGTTATCGGTTCATAATAAGTTGAAACACATTGTCAGATTTTGCTGTATTTGGCTGAACCATTCTTAGGTGGCCCGCCAATGTAATAGATGACTCTAACACATAAAATAAGTAAGCTGACCAAAGTACTTACAGGGGGAAAAGTTTATTGAAGACAAAGAATGGTGCAGTTCCTCAGCAGTGATGTTAACTTGTTGGTTTTCAAGTAATTTAACCCAAATTACTGTCTGTGAGACACTATAACAAAGGATGTAACTCCCCCGGGAATTTCCAACTGCTTTGGTTGGGTCACATCTCTTGAGTTGATGTAGCTTATTTGGTTTACACCTTTTCAGACGTTGATACTTGATTGCATACGAAACAAGTCATACAATCTATCAACATAAAGAGTTATTATGCGTTCTTGCAGCCCAATAGCAACTCTCACAACCTGGTACTGGGCTGATCTACACAACAAAACAGTTGTCAAAATCTTCACTCTTTTTTAGTTATTGAGTTTAAATCTTCAGGTGTTCAAAGCGTTTTATTTCCAGTAATTTGGTATGTTTTTAAAAGTTCACACTGGTTTGGCATGCTGTCATGGGAGAGAGCATAAAGATCATAATCAAAATATCATCCTAACCAAAAGATCATCCTCGAGCCCTGGGCTACCTCTCGTAAGCAGGGTGAGAGAGGAGTTTGAGCTCAGGTAGATCTTGATGAACTCCCCCGACTTGTTTCTGTTCTAATGACAGATATCCAGATGGCTAAAGGGAGATATATGGCTTCTAAGAACTTGACTACGGTGCCAATTTAGAATGTTCAGTTTACTTAGGTTATGTGTTTTTGGGCTGTGGAAGGAAACTGGGGAAAACCCATGTGAGCATGGGGAGAATAAGCAAACTCTCCACAAATATCAACCAGTTCAGTGAGGGCTCTTCTTGCTGTGACATTCTTGCTGTAAGGCAACAATATCACTGGGCTGCTGTGTTGCCCATTCTAGAAAGGAGGAGGAGTAGGGGTAGAAGGGGAATTCTTCAAGATAAAGATAATTAAGGTTAGAAACTCTGGTTATTTATAGTGAGTTAGGAATCGTCTGATTGGTGAATCATGTGTTGGTTAATGTGGAACCAGCCGTGGACAATCATAAGCATGTGATCCTCTCGAAAGTAGTTTATAAATAAACTTCACGTCAATTAACAGCCAAACTACATGAAAAGGCTGCTGTTATGCATATACTCATGTTTGTGTGGACAAGGCCTTAATTTTGAGGACTCTGCTCTCCATTGTGAAGCTCCATGTGATTGCTGAGGCTTCTTTTATGTTTAAAGCCCTTTCCACACTCAATGCATATAAAACGCTCTCCTGAGTGAGTCTTCATGTGGTTCTTTATGGAGTATTTGTGTGTGAGACTCTTTCCACACAGATCACATGTGAACACTATGGTTCCAGTGTGACCATTCATGTGGTTCCTGAGGTTAGCTTTACATGTGAAGCTCTTTCCACACTGCGCACATGCAAACGGCTTCTTTCCGGTGTGAACTATCATGTGGTGTTTGAGTGTGCTTTTATATGGGAAACTTTTACCACACTCTGTGCATGTGTAAGGTTTCTCTCCAGTGTGAATCCTCATGTGGAGGTCAAGATTTTGTTTTTGAGCAAAACTTTTACCACACTGTGTGCAAACAAAAGTTCTTCCTCCATTGTGAGTTCTCATGTGGACTTCAAGGTTGCTATTTTGATTATAACTTTTTCCACACTGAGGGCAAGAGTAAGGCTTCTCCCCAGTGTGAATTCTCATGTGCACTGTTAAGTTTCCTGTAGTTTGAAAGCTTTTCCCACACTGTTGGCATGTGTATGGCCTCTCTCCAGTGTGAATTCTCATGTGCACTGTTAAGTTTCCTGTTTTATGGAAGCTTTTCCCACACTGTTGGCATGTGTATGGCCTTTCTCCAGTGTGAATTCTCATGTGCACTGTTAGGTTTCTTGTATTATAGAAGCTCTTTCCACACTGTTTGCAAGTGTAAGCTTTCTCCATAGTGTGACCTCTTATGTGAACATCAAGCTTTGGCTTTTGACTGAAACTTTTTCCACATTGTTTACAGCTGAAATTACACCTAGGTTTGGATTTCCGAGGTCTTCCACGTGACAAAGTCTTTTTCGTCAGTGTAGGTTTTTCATCAGTCGTCATGTCTTGCTGTATCTCTTCCATTTCATTCTGTTGATGAGTCTTTTCTTTCAGCAACATCAGGTCTTAAAAAAAAAGAAGAAGTTAACTTTAGTATGAAGACTCAAAGCGATAAGCATGAAATGGATGTTTCACCCACAAATATAAATGACCTTACCATTTACTCTCTCATTTGCTTTTAAACAATTCCTTTCTTCTGGAACACAAAGAAAGCTAACTTTTTTTTTCCACAATATCTTCTTTTGTGTTTAACAGAATCAACAAACCCCATAAAGGTTAAAAACCACAAGTACAGTAAATGGTGAGGTTATTTTCATTTCTGTTTCATAAATATCTTTAAAGGGTTCCTATTATAAACCATTATTATTATTATTATTTTTAGAAAAAACTTATTAAACCACACGAGGAAGAGTAAATGGTGAGGCTATTTTCATTTCTGCATCAACTATCCCTTTAAAAGGTTCCTACAAATACCCATTTTTTAAAAGATGTAAAATAAGTCTTTGGTGTTCCCAGAATGTGTCTGAGGTTTTGGCTCAAAATCAGATCATATTCCTTTCAGAATATTTAATTTTGGGGGTCTGGAGGAAAACCAAGCTCTTTTAGTGCCTGTGGCTTTAAATGCAATTGATCAAATGCACTCGCTCTGGATTACTCGTGTTAAGTTCCCTCATGTGTATCTTTCACATGATTTAAACATTTTTAACTTGCTTGGAAAACCCGATTGGGACAAATCCTGCATGTTCATAGCAAGTACGCATAATTTACTCTTCTATTTGTGAGTTTGCATTATTGTTTATAACTTATGCAAATATTTCCTAGTACTGGGTTGCAGCTGGTTTAAAACATATGCTGGATAAGTTGGTAGTTCATTCAGCTGTGGCAACCCTTGAAGAATAAATAGACTAAGCCAAAGGAGCTTAGCTGAAGACCTACGTAGTGACATTTTATATACCTGCCAAGATGCAGAAATGCCATCTCAAAAGGTTACCTGCTGTTAGTCCAATCAGGGACAGTGGCATCTTAAATATACAAATAATAATGTTAACCCAGGGTTTGCCAATGTGAAACTGTTAATGTTAATGAAAACCCAGGATTATTTTATAACCCCTAGGGGCTGTTTCATAAAAGTAGTTCAGATTTTGCTGACATCATGGCGCCCCTTGTGGCAGACGTGTTTGCTTGCTCCGCACATTTTTGCATAATGAGCACAATTAAAAAAAAAAAAAACACTGTACATTGTTTACATCTGTTTCATTACTCAAATCAGGTTTATATATTGTTTACTTTCATAGATATTTACATACTTACATTTTATAATCATACTTCAGTCACTTCTGTGTATATATGTGTATTTATGTGTATAATGTGTATGTTGTGTGTATGACTTCACTGTGGACGGCAAAGTAAGAATTTCATTGTACAGGGAGACGTGTTTCCTTACTGTGCACATGACAATAAACATTTGAATTGGATTGAATTGAAAAGCGGGGATTAAAGTAAAAACCTGACCGCACTTTAATTGGTTCTATAACAGTAAGTAATTGCCATGGTAGCACACAACATAATCAATGCATCTGTGCTCAACCTTTAGGGTTTCATGACAGTAACGTGCACAAGCAAATTATCTGGATTATTTTGACTGAACTCAGATTAGTTACATCAAATGATCTTCAAATTTCTGTTATGGAACCAATTTAAGCGTGGACGATTAGTTCTGCTCACTGAAGCCAGGTTTTCAACTTTAATCTCCACTTTTCTAAACCACTTTCATGAAACAGCCCCCGATCTCACATGCTATTGTTTTAGTGCTTCAGTTGCCTATTGGAGAAATGACCAGGAATAACGGTAGAAAACGGTCACACTACTTGCTCTACAAACAAGTGTATTCATGTTTATTCATACAAAAAAAATAAGAAAATATGACTTTGCAACATCAAGCAGCATTAAGCATGGGCCAGTATAAGATTCTGACGTATGATAACCTTGAATAAAAATATCACGCTTTCACAGTATTGTGATTACTGGTCTAAAATATATTATTTTTAAATGTCTAGGTATAAAACAAACTATTTTTTTTCCCCTTTAAGCACAAAATATTTTCTTTTAAGAAAATAAAAGAAATAAAAAGAATGTATTTATTTATTTTTTATATTTTGGAGCAGTAAACATGTCAGGCTAAATCATTCAAATGAATCATTGACATCTGTTGTTTTCATTAGTTTCAAAAACAGATTGCTTTACGATTTGAAATGGCATCTTTAGATATCTTTTCTGCTGGAGATACTATCTTAAAATGTAAAAAAAAAAAAAAAACTTGCATCCAGTTGAAGACAGAATTCAGAAGGGGCTAATAATTCTGTCCTTAAAATGGTGTTTTTAAAAAAAACTGCTTTTATTCTAGCCGGAAAAAAACAAATAAGACTTTCTCCAGAAGAAAAAAAAAATATTATCATACAAACTGTGAAAATTTCCTTGCTCTGTTAAACACAATTTGGGAAATATAAAAAATAATAGGTTTGGGCTATTAATTCTGACTAAAATTTTAGCGGTTTTAAAACCTTGACTTTTCCAAACCACGGTACACCTTGAAAGGAGTTATCATCCCTTTCGTAAGCAGCATAACACTGTTTTTAGGATCTAAAAATGGTTTCTTTTAAAAAAGTGTCAAGCAAAAAAATTCAATGGCTGCGCCTGCTGTTACGTGAAGAATATGGTCAATACTGACGAACTTCACACTCAAATGTTTGCATATCATCAGCATGCTGTAATCCATTTCTTAAGCAGCAAAAGTCTTTTTTAGACTAGTTTGTTGGCCAGTTGTAGTCAGTGCAATGCTAAATGTTTTTTTTTTTTCACTATTATTTGTTCCTTTTGTCTCACGTCGTCCCACAAGAACATTAATATAGTTTAGATTACTGTACAATGTTTTATAATAATTAATTACTTTAGTGTTTATTTAATTCCGCATATTTAAAATTGGGGGCATCCATATGACATACTTTAACACAATAGCCCTGGTAATTAAGTATTAAGAGTATAATAGTGATGTAATTCTAACTCAGATACTATCTGTGAGAACTAGTAACATCTACTAAAATCAAGTTTAAACCCATAAAGAAGTTGAGAAAAAAAGGAATTGTGATCAACGTGACATATGCAAATGGAAAGTACTAAGCCAACACCATCACTGTAATAGCAGATATCTTCTTAGGAATACTGTAGGTCAAATATTGTCAGCTCAGTTAAACATTTTTATATAGCGCCAGTGCTCAAGGATGCTTAGAAGAACAAGAAAAGCAAAATGAACAAAACAATAAAAATGTCCTGTTTAAAAATAAATGAAACAATAAACAGAAACAAAATACCTTCTCTTCAACACTTGCTTCAAGTTTATTTATATGAGAGTAATTAACAAAAAGAAATCAGGTAGGTCTAAGCAAGAAACAATAACCAAAAATGAGCTGATTAAAACTAGTACTCAATTTCTTATAGTGATGTATTGTTAGAATGGAATGACATTATGCTATTTAATAAATTAAACCTTCGGAAAAACTTTTCACACTTTTCTGTTACTTTTTTTTAGCTTTATATTGTCAGCTCAGTTAAACCTTTTATTAATTTATTGTGTTTATTTATTTTGTAAAGCATCAGTGCTCAAGGGCGCTTTACAAACAGTAGGAGAACAAGAAAAGCAATAACCTTAAGAAGGTAGAGAAAATGGGAGACTAATACATAAAATAATGACAAAAGACATGAGAACAAGTGATGAAAGAAACTCATTTCTGTCTTTTAATGAGTGCTTATGTGCATTTAGGAAAACTAGGCAGCACACTTAGGGCTGCAAGAATGATTTAATTTAGTATTCTTATTATTCAAATATCAGAATGAGAATCAGAATTGGTGTTTGAGAATGAAAATAAACCTGTTTGTTCCTGCAGATCTTCCTGTTTGACTCTGAATGTTTCTTCAATCTTCACATCTTCACTCTCCTCTTTAATAAACGCCATCTTTATAACAGTGTGGAGATCAGTCGCTTCAGCAGGAGTTTTTTTTTCTGTTTGGACACTTTATTCTGTTTTAAAAAACAAAACAATGAACAGAAACAAAATAACTTCTCTTCAACACTTGCTTCAATGTTTTTTTATGGGAGTAATTAACAAAAAGAAATCAGGTGAAATGTTTCTTTAAAACACTTATTACACACATTCCTGTTACTTTATTCAAACAATAGCCATTAGTTACTGATAATAAAATAGTACTACGTTGTATAAAGGGTTAAAATAATATTTCCAAAAGCAGGAATATAATTTAGCACCATATAAAAAAACTTAAAAATTTAGAACTTTAACTTTAAATCGGTTTATCTCTGTGCAAACGTTTTCAAACAAACCTTTGTCCAGTTGAATCACAGCGGTGAAGCGGCGCTGCCTGATGACGTCATGCGCGACGCCAAAATAAAAGTCTTTTTTTTAAAGCTTTTTTGACACTTTCTGTTGCAGTCATGACCTATTGATACATTACTCCCATGGTTTTTACTTTACACTATATATGCTCTCTCTCTCACACAAACCTTTAATCCAAACATTTTCTTAACTTTTTTAATCCACTTTATGATGACTTGTATGTCTACAACAACATTACTTCTTAATATCTGAGTACAAATCTCATCCTCATAATTATGACCTCTTCTTTTCTATTTCTACAACTTCATAGGCCTACGTAGAATTTCTTTTTTTCCACATGAATTGTCGTCTCTTATTAAGACAAGTTAAAGATGT